ACGCGTTCCACAGAAAGGATTTCCAGATGGCCATTGATGCCTACACACAAGTATTCAACACTAAAACTTCTTCTTCAATCAAAGAAATAATTGTAATTTCTGTCCATTTTGTGATTTTGTGGCATTTTCTTTGAACAAAGGCAATTGACTTTGACCCGACGGATCATACCTTATTCTCAAACCGAAGCCTTTGCTGGTTGCGGTTAGGACAAGCTGAGCATGCCTTATCCGATGCTAAAACCTGCAGAGAACTAAAACCTGATTGGCCTAAAGGTTGTTTCAGAGAAGGCGCTGCTCTGCGTTTGCTACAGGTAAAAACAGTCAATCTCCATTAAAAAATGCTCTGATCTTCTTAACACTAAAAACCGTATAACTCACTGTGCTACTGATGAATCTCCAGCGATTCGACGAGGCAGCCAATGCTTTCTACGAGGGAGTATTGCTTAGCCCTGAAAGTAAAGAGCTCATTGATGCTTTCAGGTTAGTTTCAGACCCATATGATGTTTGATTTTTATTGTTTTGTATTGGGTTTTCGAGATAACGGATTCTTTCTCTTCTTTCTTATACAGAGAAGCCGTAGATGCTGGAAGGAAGTTCCACGGCAAGGACAAGATTAAAGACAAATCATAAGATTTTCAAGATGCAAATCTAGATGAAGTTTTGATCTGTTTCTTATCTTTGTCTCTCCCTTACTCAGTTGCTTATTTTCACTTCAAATGTACTCAAAACTTCAGGAATAAAGTTTCGTTTGTGCTCAGTTTTGATTATTTATCCGGATTTACAGTTGGATAAAAACAAAAAAAAATGGTGGTTACGACTGATATTTATGGTAGGAGAATATGAAAATTTCCACATTTTATATTTGATAATTCATTTATTCCTTAATAACTTACAAGTTACAAACAGCTCCATACACACAATTGTGGTGAAAGATTAAACTCGTGACATTTTATTTTATCGTACAATTTATGAAAGGTGATAATAATTATAAGATAAGATGCAAGGTGGTGACTAGAGGAAGTTGAAGATCTTTTTTAGCAATTGACAAACGCATAGTTGACAATTAGGTGCCCACGAGCGTATCCCTGACCGTTAGTATCGAGCTGTCTGAAAACGCCATCGTCTAAATCCAAACCGCCGTTACTGCACTGATCCACGATTCTCACTGTCGCTTGTGTTCCGGTCGCAGTATTCGTCACCTGCGTTTTGCGTTTTGGTTTTTGCTTATTTGTATATTACGTATCAAAATGTAAAACAGGATACATGACATGTGGAAATTAATTTATATATAGAAATGCATGGCGTTTCGGAAATGCGATTTTGGTAATGGTGTATGAAGTACTTACCCTTAAGCATCTTCCGCAAGAATCACGACCTCGCGGTCCAGCCGGGCCGCAAAAAGCTGTCCAACCGTACTTCCTACGCCATTCGAGCGGTTGGTTTCCTTTCCAAGTCGAGCAATACGCACTTACTTTGTAAAGGTCCCAACCGTTCTGTTCGGGATAGTAGTAATGGTAAGTTGCCCTTACGTTAGAAGCGGTTTGTGCGGCTGCTTTAGCCGCAAATACGCATAGCAAAACAAACACACAAATGCTGAGTCTTCCCATTATATGGTTTGTTCTTTAAAATGTATTGTGATTGAATCAAAGATGGACGAAGAAATTTATAGGGGAACTATTTTTCGTAGAATGCATAAATTGCTAAATTGAAAAGTTTGGACCGTTGTGAATGGTTCCTTTTGGGTTTTGAATTTTCAATGGATTACTACTAGTCTTGGGAGATTGCTATGGTGGCTTTTCAATCTTTGTGGTCGAAATCGGAAGTTTTTGAGGTAATAAGATTGAACATTTATTAGATTTGACACATGTTTATGTAATGTCCCGAGCATCTACAATGGTTGGATTTCTTAAATGAGTATCTAAACTAAATAATATTAG